ATTTTAAGATACACAACGGACCCTCTGTAAGCGGGTCCTCATCCGACACCAACTGTGCGAGCTCGAGATCGCGTCGCTCGCAGGATCTCCTCGCGGGATTTTCATTTGGGAATTCACCCCGGCGCGAAATTCGTGATGTCGTCCCTCCCTCGAAAGACGGAATGTGCGAAAGGATAAAAGGAGAGGCGGAGTTCTGCTCCGAATTCACCTCCTGCCGGAGGACAACCTGGGTGAACTCGCGGGCACGCTGAAACGCACGTGGCACGTGGCACGTCGTCGCTCGTCGCATATCCCGGCTCGCTCCTTTGCTTGCGCGCTTGCTCGTCCGCTCGCTCGCAAGACTACCGCTCGCTCGGCACCTAAACGGCAACGCATGCAGCGGCGGCGGCAGCAGCGAGAACGCATGCAGCAACGGCCGGCGTTCGGGCGCTCCGCGTCGCGACCGGCGACTGCCGGCTAAAAAACCATACGATGACCTCATCCGCACCGGCAGTGCTCTCCTCTCCTGCTCGTGTCACTCTTGCTACGAACCGTCCTGAAAACATCGCCATCGGCGCCGCGCCGCCGTCTTCCGCAGGTTGCCGACTTGCCGCGCCGCAGATATCGCTTATCTGCGGGCACAGCAAACGCGAGCGCGAGGGAGAGAATACGCCGCGTTTCCTAATTTTTGACAATTTTGACAGATAGAAATTATTCAGGTTGAACACACAGTCATAATTAAGTCATAATGATATCATGGAACATCATCATGACGTCATTTGATATTTAAAAATGAGGTTATATAAGTGACAAATAAGATCAAGATAATGTTCTTATGATATTATGATTTCTGTGTCCTATTTAAGTAAAGATTTCCTTGAAATCAATTTTTTTTTTAATTCAGTGAAAAGTAATTTAACGATTTCGTAAGTTATACTCGTCGAATATATATCTTATTCAAATTTGTAAAATCAGAAGCGCTTTCGATAAGATATTTAATTTGCGAATTTCTAAATCCAAGTATCATTAGAGAAGCCATAAAGGGATGTTGGCGTAACGACCAAACTCTAACAGGATTTACTTGTTAAATACGATTTACACACATACGATTTATGATACAAATATTTACAGGGTATTGAAAGATCATTGTGGGTGCTTTCCATTTAGTGATACATATCGTCATAAATATCGTTCATTATATTTATGGAATGCAAAAAAAGATAGAATGACGTTTATATCAATTTATATATCTAAATGGAAAGTACCCAAAGTGTAACATTATTTACAATTTAATTGGAACAGAATTCGAATAGAAAATTAGATTAAATGTAACTTAATTTTGCCACCTGTATTGAATGAAAAAAAAAAAATGCCGGTCGCGTTCAATGTCTTCCAATCTCATTTATAGCTGCGATTAGTAACATGTAATTGTCATTAGAAAACATAAACTTACACAATCGACTAGTAGTTCTTGGGCTGAGTGCGGATGTGTTGTGTCAATGATTACGGCAATTGGGAGCATTTTCTAGTAAGGACACAATATAATACAGTGAATCATTTCATCCTTCAATGTTGACAAACAATAAAGATATAAAAGTGGAAATACCTTTAAGTAAAAGAAATAAGAAATAACTATTTTAATTTATTAAAAATCGTACATTCCGATTTCTGGTAGATTGAAATCGTTATTCATTATTCTTAATTCCTTGTTCCTTCTATTGTACCTTAATTTATGCGCTGTGTTACATTAAATTTGTTCGCGTCGCAACAAATTCATGCTTCAACATGTTCAAACATTCTTTTATCAAAGCTCCTACCAGAGAAAAACTTGAAAGTGGATATCCTGATTTTTGTCGTGTATTAAACCTCGTAGGTACCTAATGTCCACGTTCTTATGGTTCTATTATACTAGAAAGAAACCTGAGAGGACATGACGGCCCAAAACCTGTAATCGCAAAATGCTGCCGCGCATTACTGCCCTCTGACAAAGTGGATGTAAACTACATAGCAACGTCCACTTTTCTTAGGATAGTACGCGGCAGCATTTTGCGGTTATAGCTTTTGGGCTGTCATGTCCTTTCTCAGTTTCCTTTCTGCTGGAACACAATTTATGTTGCCACGAAAAGTTTTACTGTTTTAGTGACTTTACAACTGCCCAAAAAAAAAATGCCCAATAAACACGTTCAATTGACCCAATAATTGAATGAACGCTTGTTGTTATTGGTACTTTCTCTAAATCTAAATGTCTAATTAGATGATATAATTAGACGTTTAAAAAGTACACAACAACGATTACTTGCTAAACTGTTGAGTTCACTAAATGAATGTTTCATATTTATTTATCGTAGGTAACGGTATTTCTTTATTACCATCTGTAATTATATTGGTTTATATAATTGTAACCCCTAGATCCACGGATTGCGAAGCGACCACTTAGGTCCGCACAATAAAAGGAACAGAACAGAGAATAAGAATTTCAACCTATCAGAAACTGTGTATTCCACAATACATGATTTCTGATAGGTTGAAATTCTTATTCTCTGTTCTCTGTTCCTTTTATTGTGCAGAGCCCCTTAAGGTATGTAATCACACGTGTCGTCGTGTCATCGCATTAGTGTTACAGAATAAACAACTAAACGTTGAAAGGTCTCGGACAGTCCAGAACAGTCTCAAAAGTTCTTGCTGGACAGCATCCTATATCTAGAGTTTTGCTTCCAAGTCTCATGACGAGCGTGAACCAAACGAGGACGGAATCTCGGCGTCTTGGTATCTTGGCTTGGATATTACGTTCCTAATTTTTTGAAAGTTGCCGACATCGATCGTGCATTTTTCATACTGAAGCTCTCTGGACGAGCGTCCGTGCGGCATGGAAGCATCGTAGTCATTGACGTAGTTATAGACACAAGTGCCCAACGGCCCAGTGTATTTATAAACAAGAGAGCTATTGAACATTAATTGAACATGTCTTCAGACAATTCTGTTATTTCGAACAACGCTCCTCACGCGAATATTCGAATAAAAATAGAACCTGGCACGTCAGAGTCCAACATGTCAGAACCTAGCACGTCCGTATTACCGTCGACGTCGCTTTCAGAGAGGGTGAAAAGCATTAAAGTAGAACCAGGTTTATCCACCACCACACAGAGATTGATATCCTATCGGCTACCACGAGACTTGACACTAGGTGGAAATATTAAGGTTGAAAAACCAAAGAAAGTGTATACACCAAATCTGAATGTACAAAGGACTAAAAAGAAAGAGTAAGTTATTAATCAACTTATGACACAGTACAGATGCTAAAAGTAATTTGATTTCAGCGGTCCAGTGATTTCAATCAAAACTGATCTGGTGAAACCGAAAAACAGCGATCGTGGAAGGGAACGAGGGAGAGGAGACAGAGGACGTGGAAGAGGAGATAAAGGAAATGTAATACAGGTAATATTAATATTCTAAATATCCTTCAAAAGAGTTCTTCGTTTACATAAAATTACGTATTATAAAATATAATCTACATCCACGTATATATAATGTAAACTATGTAAATTATGTTTTACATATCATCTATGTAAACGATCCATGAATTATTGAAATTTATATTCTTTGTCGTTGCATTAGACTGCACTAAGTTATTTTTATTTCGCTTATATATATTTATCAATACTAAATGGATATATTTAATTATTTTTTTCTGTAATATGCTATTCAATTTATAATAATATTTTATGTAATTTTACATTGCTTATAGTGTTTACATGATGAATAAAATTCGTGTAAACTTAACATAAACATTACATAAACGTTCCATTATTTGTAATACGTAATAATAGTATAAATAATTACCTCAACTTATAAACTTCTATTTTATTATCTTTGAATTTTATTCTTAAGTCTTCTTTACATTTTAATTTAATAATTCAAAAAAATCATAAGATTATTCTATATTTCTAGTCTGTTGGCATTTGGTCAGAAGGAATCTATGTAACACCTACCACTAGAAAGAGTGAAGGTTCCAGAGCTTCTAGTAGCACAACGAGTGCTGTAAAATATCTGGAGAAATCAAAAACAAGTACAAATAAGATTAAGGCAGAAGAAGACAAAAGATTAAAAAATCTGTTAAGAGATGATTTTATTGATGATGCTCCGGACATTGATGAAAAAATGTGTCCTCTCACGCTACCAAGAATTAAAAAAGATATACATGATTCGATCGATAATGATAAGATCGATAAGAAACCGGTCATTTCGGAAAATGGTGAAAGTAAGTGTATAATATTCTTTTAGGTAATTTTATTAATTTAAACATTTTTTTCTTTCATAGTCATAAATGAAGAAAAAAGCAGGCAAGACAGAAAGGAAGAATTTACCATTTCTCAAATAACCGAAAACAAGGCTAATTCTTATACATTAATTCAAGTAAGGATATCATGTAATTCATTATAATTGTTACTTAATTTAATAATTGATCAACAGTTTCCAGAATCTTTGCCAGGTTTGGAATCCAGTAGAGAGGAAACAAAAACAAAACAATCAAATAATTCGAATACTCATAGTGAGAATGATAATAAAACAAAAACTGAGTTTTGTACTTTGAATAATTTAAGAAGTGGTCTCTTAGGCAAACTCGAAATTTTGAAGTCTGGTAAAGCTAGATTACGTCTCGGCGAAATGAGTTTTTTCGTTGATATTGGAGTGCAGCAACGTTTCCAACAAGTATAAAATTATATTTGTATAAATTATAATTTAAGGAATACAATACTGTTATAATCCTCAATAATTAATTACTTTTCAGGACCTTTTAGCTGTAAAAATAGATGCATCACAAACCGGCGATCTCGTCAATCTTGGTTCAGTGAACAATAAATTAATTTGTTCTCCAGACTTTGAATCTATATTAAAAAATTCATAAGAAATTTTATAAATATGTATCATTTATAAATATGTATCATCTTTAATAAAAAATGTTTGTATAAAAGAATGTTTAGTTGTAGGAGATTCATGAACAATATATATAATGCGGATAATAATTTTTAATACTTCTATATTTTTTATACTAGCAAATTACGTAAATTATTAAATAAATTACATTACGTCTGCAAATTCGGTATGGCGATTCTGATGTCTAGGAGAAATTAGGAGTCACTGTAAAACAGAAACGATTATATCATTTGGGAACACATAGTTTTTGCAAATGGGTTTTCGATTGTTCTTCGACTTGTACAAGTTGCTGTAACATTATCATTCAAGTATACTATATTTATTATTATCTAACACTATAATGAAAACTAATCTTTATACAAATTAACTCAAATGAATCGCTGTATACGAGTCCTAATTTCACTTGAACTTAGGAACTAAAAAAATGTACGATATTTTCTATTGGATTCTTCAAAACATGTAAAATCTTTACATTATATCAGTATACATGAATATTCGTATCAATATGAATAAGTACACTCTATACACTGATACGAGAAAATGAGTCATCACGTAATTCTGACAAATCTTAATGAAATGTGAAAAGAATATCAATTTTATGTATATATATAAATATATATGTATTAATTATATATATATATATATATATATATATATATATATATATATATATATATAGTATATATGTTTTTTCAATATATTTATGTGAATTATTCACAATATGAATGCCATTTGATCTTGTTCCGAAGGGATTGAGTGATAAGTAAGAATCCAATTATTAATAAGAAACGAAAGTTATTCATATTCATAATACAATTAAAATGTTTTGCGATAAAGAGATACATGCATGACACATTTTCGAAGATCATATATTAACCTCAATCACTTCGTTCAATGCTATGTCCTTTTTTCATTGATTTTAATGCCTTCTCCCGAAGTTTCTTTTCCAGTTCTTCAGTATTACCTTCACTTACATCAGATTCATCTGAATCCGCAACTTTCTTCTTTTTGTGCTTTCTGTGCTTCTTATGTTTCTTGTGTTTCTTGTGCTTCTTTTCTTTCTTTTTTTTCTTTTCTTCGATTTCACTTTCCTGAAAGTATCAAAGCTCAATTAATAAACGATTAAAGATAATAAATTTGTTGTAATAAATTTGTCTATAAAGTCGTTACCTCCGATTCACTAGTGCTAGTTTTTGTCTTTTTCTTACGCTTCTTTTTCACCTTTTCATCGTCCGAACTATCGTCAACTTTTCTTTTCTTCTTCAAATCTTTATCTCCAGGATCGTCATCTTCTGAACTGGAATCTCGTTTCGATTTCTTCGATTTTGATTTAGAGTCATCTTCACTTGTCGAATCTTTTCTGGACTTTCGTGATCTAGATTTTTCATCATCAGATGAGGTATCTCTCCTCTTTTTCATTTTTTTAGGTTCTTCATCGGAACTAGAGTCTTTCTTCGATTTTCGAGATCTTGATCTGTCATCTTCGTTTCTACCTCTTTTAGATTTTTGCTCTTCTTCACCCGAAGAAGAATCTCTTCGTGATCTTTTTGATTTTTTTAATTCTTCTTCCATTTCCTTTCTTGAACGCTTTCGCGAGTCATTTTCGGCAATTTCGCGTTTTCTAGTATCCTTTCTATCCTTATTACGATCATCTATTGAATCTATAATAAAAATTATTTATTTGAATGTTATTTATAAATTATACTATGTATTTAAATAAATTATAACATGCCAATTATTTATATTTGGTACGAAAAACTTACCGGTTCGGCTAGTATCTCTAACTTTCTTATTTTTATCTGAATGCTTTCTATCATCTTCAGAATCCGAACTGGATCCAGCTCTGCTCTTATCAGATTTATCTTCATCTGTCGAAGTTTTCTTCGACTTCTTCGATTTTTCTGTCTTTTTCACTTTTCTCTTACCTGTAAAATAAATTTATAAAAGAGAAAAACATTAATATATTTATTATATTAATATATTTATTAACTATAATTAAAATGTATTTTTTTTTACCTTCACCATCACTATCCTCACTGTCTGTAGAGCCATCACGCTTTTCTTTTTTTGTTTTTTTAGCCATTTCTACAGGTTTCTTGGATGGAAGTTCCAACGGCTTTTGAGTAGATTTTTTATCTTCCGTTACTTTTGTCGATTTCAAAGACTTCTCATCCTTCTTTAAAGGGAAAGCATCTCCAGTGGTAAAATTCACTTCTCCAGTCTTCGTCGTTGGTGATTCGTCCTTAGTGTCTTCTCTGAAAGTAAAATATACACACAATCGTAGTAATTAAAATTTTAATTATGCAAATATCTTGCAACATACTTAATCGTCTGTTTAATTTTAGCTACTGCCACGATGTCTTCGGTCTTCTTAAATGGCGAAGGTGTACGCGACAAACTCTTCGAGAACTTGAAAATAAAGAAAAAAAAAAATAGAACTTTTATAAAAGAGTAATAATATTTTCTTTTATATTATCAATATAATTTTATTTATTGTAGATATTATAAAATTGAATTTTTTAAATTAATCTATGTGATAAGTAAATAATTAATGAACTTATTAAACTTACTCTGTGTCTGGTAACAGGAAGTGATGTAGCTTGAATTTTTTTAGGAGAAACACTAGGCTCAGGCTTTTTCACAGCGACCGGTTCTATCTTCTTAATTTCTTTTTCTGGACGCTTAGCAGGTTCTTCTTTCACCGTTTTTTCTTTCTCCTTCTTCTTGGCATCATCCGCGTGTTCGCGTTCTTTTTCCCGCTTCTCTTGTGGCGGGTTGCGTTCGATCGATTTCCTGCAAACAGATCACAAGCACGTTTTTTGTAGAACATTATTCAACAAACATAGATACACCACGACCAAGTATCCATCGATTGCAGACTCCGTGAAAGTATCGTGTTCAAAGAGAAAATTTCACTCACCTAAGTGACTCGTCCTCATTGCTAGAGGAACTACTCTCGCTACTTTCCGAGCTACTTGATTTAGACCGGCCATTTCGCAATTCTTTTCGCGATCCTGTATCAGGCGGTCTTTTAGTTTTCTCATCCACTTTCCTGTCCTTTGCCTTATCCTTGGTACCCTTTGAACGATCAGGAGACCGCTTCTCGTCTCTCGAACGATCCACCGATGATCTTTGATCCTTGGATCTCGATCTACGATCCTTAGATCTAGATCGACGATCCTTATCCCGTCGTTCTCTGGAGCGATCCCGTCTACTTGATCTGTCGCGTGAGGAAGATCTATCATACCTGCTCGATCGATCCCGTCCATCCGGCGAACGACGGCTCCCACGTCGATCGGGCGAACGGCGCCTATCGCGTCTCTCCGATGATCGTCTTCGACGATCCAGTGATCTCCTGCGACGCCTGTCTTCAGGACTCGGTGACCTACGACGATATCTCGCCGGACTTCTGCGTGGGGGACTGCTAGAACAATTTCTCATGCACACAATGCAAAGATAAATTTATTTGATATACAAAAGAATACCAACCTTCGCCTATTA